TCTCTGACCTTCATAACGGTTATGCAGGACAGACTGTCAAGGGTATGACGGTCCGTCATAGATGTCCGTTGGACGACACTTGAAAAAAGTGAGAGACCCTTAGGAATATGGTCTCTTACCATGATGACGGTATGTGAAGGACACACCGTCGTGAGAGTGACAGTCCATGGCACGTGTCCGTTGGATTACACTTAAAAAAGGTTAGAGACCCTTAGGAACAAGGTTTCTGACAACCAAAGTGGTTGTGCAGGACTGACTGTCGTGGGAACGGCGGTTCGCCGCATGTGTCAGTGGAGGACACTTGGAAAAAGTGAGAGAACCTTAGGAATAGGGTCTCTGACAACCATAGCAGTTGTGAAGTACAGACTATCATCGGAACGAGGGTTCTCATATTTCTATTGGTAGACACTTGAAGAAAATTTTACAATGGGGTGTTAGGGATGTTGGGACGGACCCAATGATGGTCTGTTGTGTGTACGACAGTCCATCATCGGTGACTCGTTCTATCGTTCAGTGACAGAACTGGGGATGCCCCATTCATCCTCTATGACACAAATGGAATTGTTAGTGTTTTAACCTACATTTTTCTAACATACATACCTAATAAACTAGCAATGCCAAAGCACCTATTTCTAGAGTTTTAACACGGCAATTTTGAGGATTCTCAACCTAGGTCAGACAGAATTTGTATTCAAGAATGAACCATCAAGAAGAAATAGGCTAATAATAATTTATAAACAAAAATACAATGTAAATGGGTAGAAATCAGAGACACATACCAGAGAATTTTAGAAAAACAAGCGAGGAAGGTACTTGGTGACCAAATAAAGAACCACAAAGAAGACTCCGACTAGTAGAGAGTGGATTTCAAAAATTGGGGAATTTAGGAAAATGTTCAGTTGAAAGAAAGAAAGGTACGAAATTGGAAGTTGAAAAGGGAGGGAAATGGGAGGAAGATGGAAGGAAATGGGTGAAATAAGAGGGTGGGGTTTTTAAGTGTTAATAATTTTTAAAACCCTAGCCGGGTTGGGTCGTGTATGCTTCATTATTGATGCGGCGAGTCCTCGATGATGGTCTGTCGTAGTTGTAACGGTCTGTCATTGGTTTTGTCTCGTGTGCCCTAGTTTTGAAAATAACAAAAAGACGTACCTGGCACGACGGATTCATGCGACGATCCGTCGCGTTCCCTATGGGCCGTCGATGTGTCAGTCAGTGACTGTTGCAGAGTGATTTTCTGCAGAATTTCCTAGTGATGCGCCTGCAAATTTAAAAACCATTAGTAGAAAATTCTACCATTACTATAAATAAAAACTATAAGTATTGGGTTTCCTCCTAACAAACGCCTGATTTAACATCGTGGCACGACTAAGGACACTTGATTACTCAGCCTTCATCAAGATGGTATGCCTCTATCACTTCTTTCACCGATGCAGTATACCTAAAATAGATTTTTATTTGTTCTCCATTCACCTTAAACCACACTCCCTCCTTGGTTTCTAACTCAACTGCTCCATGAGGGAATACTTGGGTAATCAAGTAAGGTCCAGTCCGTTTGGACTTGAACTTGCTCGTAAGCCAACACAACCTTGAACTGTCTTAAAGTACAAAATCCCCAACCATAAAATATCGTTTTTCACTTTTTAGGTCATTATCCTTTTTAATTTTTTCTTTGTAAGATATCAAAGATACCGATTGAAGCTCATCACTCTGCCTCATGGACCTACAAATTTTGAAGGTCGCTTCTTCATTGTTCAACCGAAATTTCATCAGCCACTTTTCCATATCAACTAAGGCTCTACCCGTAAAAAGGAATTGACTCCTAATAATAATCGGAAATTAAAAATTGACTTCACAATCAAGAATAACAAAATCTACTAGAAATATGAACGACTCCACTTTTACTAGCATATCAAGGAGTATCTCTATAGGCCTTTTCACTGTTCGATCAACCATTAGTAGCCGCATCACAGTGGTCTTTGGGTCACCAGAACCTCACTTCTTGTAAATTGAGAGGGCATGAGATTTATGCTTGCCCCCAGATCACATAATTGTTTCGCAAAATGTAATGACCCGTCTGTACAAGGAATAATGTACGCACCCGGACCTTCATTCTTTTGCACGAGAGATCTTGTAGCAATAGCACTACAATGTTGCATTCTATCATCATCCTCGAAAGTGACTGATCGTTTCTTTGTAGCCAGATAATTCATAAACTTGGCATAACTGGGCATTTGTTCTAGAGCTTCTACCAAAGGGACATTGATAGAATGTTTCTTCAGCATTGTTATAAAACGCCGATATTTACCATACTTGGTCTTTTTCACTAATTTCTAAAGAAGGGGGGGTCTAGGCATGGGAATTACCTTTATAGGGACTTTTGCATCTGTTTTAGTGCTATCTTCTGCTTCACCACAACCCTCTAACACCTTATAATTATGCTTTCTCACCATTTCCTCATAAGACGAAGTATTTGGGTCAATGTTTTGCTTACCACCCCGATTAGTGATTGTCATACATTGTGCATCATTTTTCATATTTTGGACAGTGTTGCTATTAAGAGTTCCTGGTTGCCGTGTGTTCACGATCGCAGATAATTGGGTCATTTGCAACTCGATCTGCTTAATCGATATTGCATGTGTATCAACTTTCTCCCCAATACCCGCTAAATCACTCCTTAACTCTTTAATGTGCTCATCATTAGCTTCGAACCTCGTCATTATTTTGTGCAACATATCCTGAACTCGTGCCATACTATATCCACCATCCCTAGGAGTAACTTCACGATTTTGAGGAGGGACATAGGGCTCATTCCTATCATTTCTTTAACCATAGTTACCCCTATTGAAGTTGTTGTCGCAGTTGTAGTTTCCATCTCGGATATAATAACCTTCACGGTTAGAGTTACCATAGATCCGACCTTGGTTACCTTGACCTTGGAGCCAATTATCCTGATTTGAGCATTGGGCACTCGGTCGGAACCCCCCTATCATTTCATTTAATACATAAAAATCATCCACATAGTAGCATTCATTATAAGGTGGTGGTGGTTTAGACAAGTAGTTAACTGGATTTATCTTTTCAGCACCCCTACTAATATGTTTTAATACCAACCCAAGCTCAATTCTCATCTGTGTCATTTGTTCACGGATCTTATCTATGGCCGGGTTGTGAGTGGATTGCACTGCGGAGGTATTTCTCCCTATATTTGACTCTCTAGTACTCCAAACTTTATTGTTTTGGGTGATTTTATCTAACGTTTCAGCAATCTCAGTATAAGTACACTCCCCTTAAGAACCACCCGCTATCGTATCCAACACCTCTTTATTATTATCATCCTGTCCCCAATAGAAGTATTCCTTTAGTGACTCATCATCTATGCGGTGATTCGGGACGGTTCTAAAAAATGAGGTGAATCTATCCATAGAACTACTAACTGACTCTCCTGGTAGTGCCAGAAAGTTGTTCACTCTATCTTGGTGGTTAAGTTTCTCGGAGTCAGGGTAGAAGCGTTCTAAGAAAACGTCCCTTAGTTGGTTCCAGTGAAAATTAAGTTGTAAGGAAGCTCAGTGAACAAAATAGCAGCCTCTTCCGTCAGTGACAGAGGAAACACTCTTATCTCTATTACATCCAAAACCAAGTCAGGCCTCCCCACACAACTTTTACACACTGCCCCTTACCTTAGCTATATAAGAATGTGGATCCTATGAAGGTAGCCCTTAAAACAAACCTCTGCAAGTGAGCATTTGCATTAGGCTACTAGTTACCAAAAAGGTGTGGCCAGGTTGTTGAGGGGGCAAGACAAGTGGCCTATTGGAGTCTACTACATTGTCATAGACTCTGTAGTATTCATGGGGATGTGGAGCGGGATTTTGTCCCGTCTGTTTGTTTTTACCTGGAGCATCGGGTAATAACTAATTATGAACATCTACCGAAGCTGGGATGTTCTGGTTTGGATCATCATCATTAATTCCCAAGTTTTGATATATGTTGCATAGTGTACGCTCTAATTTGTGATTGTATGGAAACAAGTGTTCTATTCCTCTCCGTGTATTTGACATGTAAGAAATATGGTTCTGCAAGAATAAAAAACTATAAAACATAGTAAAATCAAGAAAATATCAACTAAACTATAGTAATAAGTTTAAGTTAATCTAAAATCTACTTTCCCCGGAAGCGGTGCAAAAATATGATACGCTCAAACTTACTTCTTATTTGAGAAGTAAATCGGTCGTATCAAGTAAAGAACCCAACTAATGAGGTTGGAATCGTTCCGACGAGGAAAATTATTTATACTTAACATCAATCTATTATTACTATTCTTCAGTCAATTACTTCCTTGGAAGGCAAAAATGATAAAAGGGAGGTTTTCTATTTTAAAAAAAATGAAAATAATTATCTAAATTAAAGGAGACAACTGGAGTTTAATCAGTTAATAAAAGTAACTAGGGTTTACGAGTTCCCCACAGGTTCATAACTTGATAATTCTAATTATAACAATTCTTTCGTAGTATCTTGCATGCAAAGTGATAATTTATGTATTTCTAAATCCTTGGTCCGACATCTAGAAAATCTCACTCCGCACATTGGTTCGGCTACGTGTGATACTATCCTAACCCTTATCTTTACCTCATATTAAGCGTCGTATTTGATATTTGACTAAGTTATTACCTCGTACCAATCAATACTAGACTATTAAATAGTATACACTAAATCTATGTTGATAATTCTTTTCCTATTATCAAAACCTCCTTTGTCCGGTAAGTAGCATTAAGGGGATTTCTAACGTTGACCATCCGTTAAAAAACTTTTAAGCGAAAGAATTATTAATACATGCAAGACTAAATATTATTGCAATTAATTATTGCAATTACCAACAATCAATTATTGCAATTATCAACAATCAATTATTGCAATTAATTATTGCAATTCCCAACAATCAATTATTGCAATTAATTATTACAAAAATCATCAACAATCAATTATTACAATTAATTGAAGACTAAAGATTCTCAAAAAGTTTAACAATAATTACCAAGTCTAATCCACAAAAGAAGCTCAAATAACCAAGAGTCTAAAAATTATCAAGAGTCTAACGAAGAGTCTAACCCCAAAAATGATGTTTTTTGAACTATTTATAAAAAATAAAAACCTAATTAAATAAGGACTCTATTTGATGGAAATTTGTCAAAACGCAGCTGGGTCGACGGACATCGGGACGGATCGTCGTACTCACGACGGGCCCATCATGGATTCCGTCGTCCCATACTTGTGCAATTTCTTTTGCTACTCTCTTAATTACCCCCGACGGCAGGTATGAAGGATCGTCACAGGCACAACGGTCCGTCGAGGGTCTACGTTCAAAAATACTTAAACTCTTGGAATTTGGGTACTAGGACTACTTCTTTGAACTTCATCACGAACAAGCATGATGAACCGTCATGGCTATGACGGTCTGTCATGCTCTCCGTAACCCCACACTTGGTGAGAATTTCCCATCTTCCTTCAGCAGCTGCACTACGATGCCACCTACGGACCGTCACGGGCACAACGAACCGTCACAAGCACCAGAGGTGGTATCATTCTCTATTTCTTGCTCAAAAACCTCTGCATTCATCTTTTAGACAGATTTCGTGTAAATGAAGAGAAACTTACATAAAAATTAGTACAAAAAGGCTTTTGGACACACTAAACATAAGGAAAAAGCATTAAAAATACCGTTAAACCATGGAATATCATACTTTAGATACAACAAATTGGAAAACAATTAGACTACGTGTGTGCTAGCAATATGTTTTCAGTATAATAAATACCTTCAACTATGTTCACACGCCTTCACCTTTTCTTTGCATATCTCAACACTTTGAGTTTTGAGCTTCATACTTTCCTTTAATGAAACCCATATCTCGACCCGCACAAGCACTAAGAAGCAAAATAATCCCTCTACAATTTTGCATTTATCATACTTGACATGAATATATGTGTCTCTTAACTTCTGTGATAGTTATCTCGAATATCACTTAATCGAAAACCAAAATCAATTAGGAATAAGAAACAACACTAAGTCACATTGGTTATACACAAATACATCTTACTTATTATGATTCATCTTGAATTACACTTATATTTTAGGTTGAATAGGTCTACAACAATGCATTTCACCATAAATCCAACAAAATATTAAACCCAAAATAGCTACAACTTAATGAAATACAACCCACAAATAGACAAATACATTACATACACTAACCACACAAAAATATTAAAGACAAAAGAAGAGATTCAAGAAGAAAACCTCAAATGTTCAAACATATAGTTTCTTTAGAAGTTGTAACCTAAAAGATTGAAGAAGAAAACCTCCAAGAGTTGAAGAAGGAAACCTCTATTTCCTTAGATTTTACAAGAAATCATACAACCCACCGTTTCATTAAATTTCAGAGATAATTTAAAGAGAGAAGTGATTTAAGATTCGATGAAAAAAATGGGTTTATTTCTGCCCTAAAATCACAGACATGAAGAACAACTTACAATCTTCCATCGTTCTGTTTCTACTTCAATCTTCCATCGTTGAAAAACATCAATCTTCCATCATTATTCCGCTTCAACGAGTTTTGCTTATAGCCACGTTCTGCTGTGAGTTTAGGTCAAAGGAAAAGAGAAGAGGAATAAAAATAAGGAAAGGAAGAGCCGCGTTCTGCTTAAGTAAATGTTTTTTTAATATCCACAAGCTTACTTAATTTTACTTCAAGAGAAAAATTATTTTACTTAAAATAATTAATTAAAAATAAAATAAAATGAAAAGTTTTGGCGGGGTCAGCGAAAATAATAGAGGGAAATTATTGGGAGATTTAATATAGAATTGATCCAATAGAAATAATATTCACAGTAAATGTTGCCATAGATTACTTTATGGCAACAATAACAATAATTGTTTCAATATAGAGGATCTATTGCAATGGTTTTCACACAATGATAACAGATTTATTACATAGTGGTAGTAACAGTGACTTAAGTGTTGCTAGAAATCCGTTGCAAATGGCTTAATTTTTAGTAGTGTTTTAAAATATATCTTTTTCACATCAAGAAAATTCTACTAAAGCTTTTCCTCCTCCTAGGTTTTACCTAGCCTTCATTATAGCACTACGACTTACTCAATTTCAAAATAATTTAAATGATGAGTGCAATGTAGCTTAAAATAGTTTTTGTAAATATGATGCATTTTTAGATGGAAAATGTTATTATAGAACTCTATTTTTAAAATAAAGGGAGGAAATCTCCAAAAATTTTAGTAAATGAATTGTTCAGGGAAATAATGAGGCTGGGAATAAGATCTTTCCTGTGTTTTAACCCGAAGAAAAGATGAAATGACCATGTTATGAAGACGATCAAAAAAAATCAGAAGATATACACATGTATTCCCTCCTACCAAAATATACTGTACCCTCATCACTAAAAGAACCTATTATTAGGTCACACAAGAAAGAACAACTTTATTCAGTTTTTCGGGAAAATTCATCCTCCTCAATCAATAAATATTTCAATCCAAACAAAGTATAGTTAAAAGATGAAAAACACAGAGGTACACCAACAAGAGAATTTCGGGGCCACTCCCCTCCCCCCCCCCCCCAAAAAAAAAGATCAAGTTACTCCAAGTAAAAAACAATTTGAGTTAACAGTATTCCATGTACTGCCAAAGCCCTACTACACCAACAAATATTATGTGGAGACAGAAGATCTCCACAACACCCAGAGGTTTTATGAATTTATTTTAATCGATATCGATTAAGTAGAATTGAGCATATCTCTGACGAAAGTAATCCTGATTGTATACAATATTTAAATTTCACAATCAAAAGAGTTTTAAGTCAGTTTGAATGGTTTGAACATCATGTACATACCCTATTCACTTATCAAAAGCTCATCGACCCCAAACATATAATTGGTATGATTATAAAGTAGCCTGGTATAACTTTATTTTTGTTAGACCAAATACCCACACTTTGTTTATCAAATATTCAGATGAAATGAAGAACGCGATCATTCCCCGATAGTTTTACAATTAGTTGAATCAGTTTGGAGGAAATAAACATGTATTATCACCTCAACATAAATTACAGTTTGAGAATTCTCAAGTAGAAAGAAATAACTACCTTATCAGAAAATAACAAATTATGCAAATTCTTTATTGCCAAATGGATCTCTTATATTATTAGTTGTTCCTTCGACATTTTTGAATTTCAGAGGATGAAATATATAAGAAAAACCATTAAATTTAAAGGATGGGCGCCAACTGTTCGCAAAGATAAGGTAGATTGAAGTTCCTCATACCAAAGGGATTAGGACAACCCCAAACAAAGATTAAAAAGAAGGCTCAAGGAAGCCTTATTTAACCTCAACACTAATGCAGAATCAAAAGTTGAGTTATTAGATACTGTTGCCTCCCGTGAAGAGTTTAGCAACAGAGATATGTTAGTTCTATAGGGAAACACACAAGCATACCTTTTAAAATATATGAAAGTGCCAGCACGAAACACTTTGATGATGAAGATTGAGGATATGTATCTTCAATAAAAAAAATAAGAAAAATCCAAGCATGTGTTATCATATATTATGTAAACAAATAAGAAAACAGGTTGACCTTGTAGAAATAAAATACAAAGCCACGAAACGACAAAGTGGACCCCGCAGAAATAAAGCCATAAAGTGACTAAAGGACCAAATAAAAAGATCTATGTTATGAAGATAAACTTTAAGGAAAAGAACATAAAATGAAGTGAAGGCTACGTGTTAGTAGTTCAAGTTAAATGGCATCTATCTCAAGCCACATAAAATTATCATCAGTTATTTGTAATAGGTAGTAGTTACGTGTAAAATGAAATGTGCATTAGTGTATGCACACATGTAAAATAGATAGAATAATAAGTTAGATTAATCAGCACATTATAGTCCTATTTAAGACTTTGAACTTGTATCCGTGTAGGGCATTTAAAATATTACTGACTTTGAAATCCTCTCTACCATATTCTACCAATTTCCCATCTTTTCTATTTACCACATTCCATGTTCTCTCTCTTTTCCCTTAATCAACAAAAAGTTTTGTAAGTACATCTTCCTACTATTATTTGATTACTTATTTTATGTTTTAAAATTTAAAATTTGTTTACTTCTTTTGTTCTTCTTTTTTGTTTAAGTCTTATTAAAGTAGTTTTGTTGTAAGCACTTTTCATGTTCCTGCTCCCATCCGTTACTCATCCCAATTTTATTTTGGATTCTGTACCCGAGCTCGATCCGTCCCCTTCACTGGAACATTCCAATTTTGTAGATCATTTTTAATTTTTATAATTTTATTAGAGTTTGCAGAGATTTTAATACTGTTTAAAATATTTGGTTGTGTATGTGAATTAATTTTTATTTAAGGGAGAATTTTGGTTATATTAAACTATCTTCCCCGTCAAAAGAGGCTTCTAAAAAATTAAAAGACAATATAAGAATAATAATTAAATAGAAAAACACCGCAATTACAAAAAAAAAGACTTAAGCATCCCTAGTAAAATAGATATAAACCAAACAACACTGAAAGGTGTTGGGGTTGTGAAAAAATGGGACATCAAGCCAAAGTGTATCAAGCCACTAATAAAAAGAAAGACAAAATTAATATTGTAGAATTAGAAGAAGAAGTTAAATATAAGTTGTAATCTATCCTATAAAATAATAAAAACAACTCCTCCTCTGATAAAAATCTTAACGATGAAGATCAACTAAATATAGCCGATGATTCTGATGATAGTAAGTCATTAGACTCTTGTGAATGCGGAAGTGCAATTTACACCTGCATGAATTATTCTATAAATATCATCAGTAGTAGTAAAGAAACATTTTTTATATTGAGGATCTTGATTTCAAGAAACAAAAACTAAATCGCCTTAAGAGATTTAGTTCTTGATAAACAATCGGATAATAGGACTATTAAGCCCTTTTATATGACAATTATTTTAAATAAATTTAAACAATAAATTAAACATAAGAAAACTCTACAAAGTATTTAGGACTAATTAATACAAATAAGAGATGAAATAAATGAAATTAAGCATAAACTCAACCATTTAGAAATTGACTCAGTTACTAATAAAACATTTTAAAATCTACCACCCAAAAAGAACTAGAGTAATGTAAATTAGAAGATGGAGAATAATTAAAAGAAGTAGAGTCTCTAGTAGAACCTCTTTCGAAACTATGAAATAATACAATTAGGGTCGTTCGACAACAAAGCTACCACATACCAATCACATTAGTTACAGATAAGAAATATATCATTCATAAGATTGCATTATTTAGTATAGGTGCAGATAAAACATGTTGCATTATTGAAGGATTATTCCTTATAGATATCTAGATGAAGACACTACCAGATTATTCTCCGCAACAGGTGTAAATATAAAAATAAATTATAATCTCAAAGATGTTTATATATGCAATAATGAAATTGGTTTCATAAAGGATTCCATGATAAACAAAGACATAAATGAAGAAATTATATTAGATATTCCTTTCATCTTTCAAATAAAGCCTTATAAATCCCAATTAGATGGCATCAATATTAGAGTGCTAGGAAAGAGTCTCATTTTCCCGTACCTAAATACTATGTCAAAAGATGAAAGTCCTCTAGTGTCATAACTCTACATGTCCCTATCTTCTAACCTATTTCTTGTATTTATAGGAAACGAATACAAGGAGGAACACTACTCGAAGGGCCAAGGAGGAGAATTTGAATGAGGTGGTTCCCCTTCAAGCTCCTCAATACCCTCAAGTTCCTATTGAAGAAGGGGATATGTCTAATGTTGATATAAGGGCGGAAATTCATATCTTGACCCAAGTGTTGACTACTGTAGTTGCTAGGGACACTAAAGTGGAAGTGAACCTCAATACTAGCACTACCGCATTAAGTATAAGGGATATCACAACGATGATCCCTATACTTTCTATGGTTCTAAGAAGAAGGAGGACCCGCAAGGGTTCAGTGATGAAGACTTCAAAGTTCTTTGATGCTATGGGTGTGTCTTCTCAAGAAAAGGCAGAACTAGACGCCTACCAACTCAAAGATGTGGCTCAAGTGTGGTTTAAGAAATGGAAAGATGAGAGGTCGGCTAGAGAAGACCAAATTAATTGGGGATCTCTTAAGAAAGTTATCCATGATAGGTTCTTTCCCTTGGAACTAAGGGAGAGGGAAATGCAAGAATTCATCAACCTAAGTCAAGGGGGTATAAGCGTGAAGGAGTAAAGCCTCAAGTTCACTCAACTATCAAAGCATGCTCCTACTATGGTTGAGGATTCTAGGGCTAAGATGAACAAATTCCCTCTGGGGATATCCGACTTAGTGCTTAATGAATATAGGTCGACTATGTTTATTCCTAACATGTATATCTCTCGTCTCATGGTTCATTTTGAACAAATTGAGAAGCAAAAGCTTAAGCAAGTTGGTAGACAGTTGAAGAAGGTAAGAATCGAATATGGAAATCTTCAAAGACTATATTTGAGGTTCAAGGAAAACGAAGGTTCAAAGAAGTGGTTTACAATCAAGGCCCTTATAGTGCTCCAAGTCTGAACAAGAGTAAGGTGTCTACTCCCAAGCCTCAAGATGGAATAGGTGGTGGTTCTTATGTTGAGAAGCCTCTTTATTCGAAATGTGAGAGAAAGCATGATGGTAAGTGCGTAGTTGGCACGGGAAATTTCTATGGTTGTTGCAAGCGTGGTCACATTGTCACAAGCCACAATTATACCCTAGAAGCTAGGATATTCTTAGGTCGTGGCACATCGTACTTGACCTCTCGGTGGTCTTGTACGATCCCTTGACATTATTCATTGAATGCACATATAAATAATAGTGTGAAATTAAAACTTTTAACACGAAAACATCTTAGAATATCTTTCATATTAAAAATCATTGAAAACTCTAATTCTTAATATGTGCCATCCTTTACACTTTAAGAATTACATGGGACAGGACCCATACAATCGAAGTATAGAATTACTTACTCTATTACAATACTTTGATATAAGAAAGTCTAAAGAAGATTAGGAGCTCTAGTGAAGTGAGAAGATAGTTCTACTTTTCTTGAACGATAACTATGTTCCAAGCTTGGTTCAACGATACCTCTCACCTTTCACCTAAAGCTTTAGATATAACAAAATATGTGGAATTAGTACAAACACTTGTATAAAGTATGGCTTAATGCATAAAATCCTAATAACAATCATCTATTTGAAATATGCATCCTTTTTATATATATACATCATAATATAAGCATAAGAATAACATATAGAACCTTAGAAACATATAAGATATGACATAAGAATTTTATCAAACATTAAGAAATATTACACTTAACCAAGTCACCTTACAATGAACTAAACTCAAAATTATAGTGAACTTATCCAACATTATAGTAAACCCATTTAACATACAACCCTCTCACTAAAAGTTATCCTAAGACTAACTTAAGTAAGACAAAGAGAGAAAACCAATACACCCTCTATAGGCACACGTACAATATCCTTAAGACCACCTATAATGAGATAATTACACTTACAATACACGGAAAAAATAAACATGAGATCATCCTACCAAGGTGATTCTAAGGTTCACTTGAGGGACTTGTGAAGGGACCGCCAATACAATCCCTTCAGACACACTTAAGAGATAAATTAGAGTACCTAGGATATAATCATTCTCGCTTTATTCAATAACATGCATCTAACATTACATTCTCCTTCCTAAAGGTTATCAAAAGATTTACTTAAGTAATTCAAGAAGAGAACACCCATACACCATCTTCAAGATAACCTAAATAATCCTCAAGAATTCCAAAGTTTAGATCGTGTCTAATTTATAAATTTGCATTCTTTATCTAGAGTCATTCTTAAGACTTCCCTAGGTAAGATATTAGGTGACATTCTTGTGCCCCTTTCACAACATCACAAGACAACCCTTAAACTGCTATGGGTAAGTACTTATTCATTTAACATGCTTTCTAACATAAGTCATTATATTCATTAGATCATTTAAGATACATTCAACATATAAGGATATTCAAGTAATGGTCTTGAATAAGGCCTAGGGACTCACTCACTAACATCTTCAAAGCCTAATTGTGCAATATCTAGATAGCATCACATACCATAACCTAAACTTCATTGAACTTCTCCAACATTAGTGGGTATCCCATATGATGAGAATTGGCTATAATCGACATAGACAATGGTAGGAAGGCATGGAATCTGGAGTCATAACCTACTCCGGTGGAGGGTGTTGTCCTTGCAAATGGTAGAACTTGGACACATCCCATATACGCATATGGTTAAGGGATATGAAGGGTTTCTTTGTACTCTAGCAATCTATTCTTCTAGATATACTTCCCAACCATACTCAGTCAGTGCTAGGCTTTGTTCTTATTGAGTAATTCGCATAAAGAATAACATTAAGAGGTTCCATATCTTGTTCATAAACCAAACACATTCACCTTAACAAAGAGGTCCCCTAGGGTTGCCTTACAATCGTCAAGAGGATAGCTCAATGATTTTCTTAAGGACAATTTTATTCCTTTCCAGCTAGCCATTCACACAAGAAGGATACCATTACGACTATCGCATTTAAAGGATATCATAACCTTATAACTAGGTTGACGAATCAACATAAAGAGACTTTTGAACAATTTTGTAGGTCACATGTAATTAATACATACAAGACTAAGAGGCTTTAGCATCCTAATTCAAGAATTCATATTCTCATTATGCATGTATGAAGTAAGGGACACAAATCTACAAAGACAAGACACAAACGTACTTCACATATATCATATCATTCTAGAAACACATATGTATAACCAACATAATCTATAGGTCACCCTATTCGCTACTATAATATCATTAATATAATCCTCATAAGACTCACATAACCAATTAGAAGAATCATGCATCAAGTCTAAGACTACACAGATAATGGACATACTTATTTTCTAACATTACAACCTAACAATATCAATATAAGAACATATAAATTCACCTTAATCACAAGTAGAAGTGTATTATTATACATCACATA